GAAAATGTACAGGTTAACAAAATCTTTTCCCCTGATGACTTCTGTTAACTATCTAGGTCTTCCTACCCCGAAAACTAAATAGGAGGATGGTATGTGTCAACTGTATTGCCAGGCAACTTTGCTTCTGGGAAACATGGCCCCTGACTGGTAAGTTACATCTGGACTGGGAAATCTCCAGATACATGATAGAAAGCCATAGCTTTGGGCATACCTGAGTGGAAAACTACTATACTGGGTGTCCTTTAAAGAGTACCCTGAGCTGTTACCTGGGGAGATGATAGTCCTAGGAGACTGTCATCTCCTAGGAGATACCCTAGCATAGACTGCTATTAGGAAACCGTCTTCTGAAAGGAGGTTTAAAATTGCCCTGCTGGCGAGCTGTGGTTCCTGTCCTATAGCCTTCTGAGTAAAGTGGTGCCAAATATAGCCTACTGTAGGCTTGTTAAGTCTGAATGTTTGTTTGGTTGAACCTAAAAAAACTTGGTGGATGTTGCAGAAGTAAAATCTTCCTTTTTTGAAATAACACAAACAACAGTTCTCCTGTAACACTTAATTAGTTGACCTTAAAAGCCAAACTTTAGGTCAACTGGGGATTTGATCTAAGTCCAAAAGTGACATCTCTTAAATTGCAAAATTTCTCTCCTCAATTTTCAACCAAGAACAAAATCAGAGATAATAGCAATTATCTCATGGTAAATCCTTTACGTAAATTATTCTCTTATTCCTTACAACTCTGTGAAATTGGTGGGTTTTTTGTTTCTTTAATGATGCTTATTTTATAGATGAGCAAAGTATGAGAGAAGTCATTTTTACAACATCCACAGCTAGTACACAGCCCCTAGTTAACTCAGTTAACTTTGCCATCAAGAAATTGAGAGCTTTTAGGTTCTTATAGGATCATGGCCATTTTCCAAATTCAGCGTTCTTTTCACATGCTCAAAAGAAAGGAAGGAAACCTCTATAAGGGAGAGAGATCGCCTACTTATGTAATATCTTAGAAGACAGTATTACCAACTTCTATAAACATGTATGTGAGAAAATAAGCATCTCAAGCCAGCAGTCAGCTCTGGAATGCACACAAGAACAGAATCAGGTGGGGACTGTACAGGAAGGAGAACGTAAGGGATTCCTGGGGTTCATTCTCAGTAGTGAGTCTCACCCTTAGAGGGAAAATGTCAAGAACCAATGTGACATGTGGGGAATCAGGCTCCTGGGAAGTCAAACGGAAGAGACTTAGTGCACAGAATCAGAATCTTGGGAAGGCACCATGCCTTGCAGAAGAAACCTACCCTCAGAGAGTAAAGGGGAAAAAAATGAAGATAAAAGGACCCAGTAGCCACACACCTGGGCATGTATTCCAGAGAGATAAGTAGACATAAAAACCTGCATATAATGCCTATAGCAGCTTTATTTGTAATAACCAGTTATCAGGAATAACCTAAATGCCCCTCCATGTATGGATGATATGGTATGCCCATACAATGAAATACTAGTCAACTCTAAAAAGGAACAAACTATTGATAGAATTTAGGTCTCAAGGGGATTATGCTGAGTGAAAAAAGAATGTCACAGGGTCTCACTGTACGATTGATTCCATTTGTATAAAATTGTTGAAATAACAAAATTATGGAGAAGAGATTAGTGTTTGCTAGAGTTAGGGATGGTGGGGGAGGGAGGTGGATGGGTGTGACTATAAAGGAAGAGCACTAGGGATCTTTGCAACGATGGAGCAGGTCTGTATCTTGATTATGGTGGCAAGTTACCAAAAATCTACATGTGATAGAATTGCATACAATTATACACACAAGAGCATTTAAAAGTGGTAAAATCTAAATAAGGTCTGTGGCCTGTATCAATGTCAGTTTCCAGGTTTTGCTATTGTACTACGGTTATATGAAATCTTAGCACTGGGACAGGCTGACAGAAAGGTACACAGGACCTCTGATTTTTTTTTTCCAATTTGTGAATCTATAATTATTTGAAAGTAAAAATATTTTTTAAAGTTCTCTTAAGGAATCAGGAGGTAAAACTTCACCTCCATAAAAAGCTTTATTACTGATATCTGATCTCACAAAAATAAAAACTTAGCAAAAAGTATTCTTGAACTAACCCAGATCCTTTCCCCCTTCCCATTTGATGACCTAGTGTTGCTGGTAACTCAACATAAAATTACATTCCTAGGGAAAAAAAATAAAGTCACTCTAAAGAGAAAACTGAAAATGAGAAAGAAGAGAGTAAACTTTAACACAATATGTGAATTAAATAAATAGATATGAAAAAAATCCAAAATAGCAACTTAAAAACGCAGAACTGGACAAACAAAATGCAGATGTGAATGACTGGGTAAAATCAGGAAAAAAATTTGGAAAAGCAGATAAACACATCTCAGAAGTGAAGGCAATCATAAAGTATTTAAGAAAGAATAGACTCAACCAAAGGTAAAATACGGGACATGGAAAATATAGATGAAAAGAGCCAAGAAAATGAAACAAAAAGTCTAAAAGAAAAATTGGTAAGTGATAAATATGAAAGTCAGGCAAAGATCTAATAGAACTAATTTGAGTCCTGGAAATAAGATGGAACAGCAGTTCTCAAAGTATGGTCAATTAGGCCAATCTGGAATGAGAGAGAATCTATGACAACTGGACTGGCCTCTTCAAAAAGTCAATGTTCCAAGAAGAAAAAGATGGGGAACTGTTTTAGATTGAAAGATTAGCAACATATCAAATGTAATGTATAATCTCTGGATCCTGATTTTAAAAAGCATGAGACATTTTGGGACATTTGAGAAAATTTGAATATGGGTAGATATTACATGATGTTAGATTATTGTTAACTTTTCTAGTTATGATAATGCTTTTTATTTAGGAAGATATCTTTATTCTGAGAAAATGCGTGCTGAAACATTTAGGGGTGAACTATTATGATGCTTGCAATGAATTTCAAAAGGTTTAGTAATGTATGTGTCTGTACACACACAGACACACACATGTATATATAAATACAGGTTGAACATCCCTGAATCCAAAAATCTGAAATTCATGCTCCATAATCCAAAACTTTCTGAGTGCCAGAATGAAGCTACAAGTAGAAAATTCCACATTTGGCCTGATGTAACAGGTCAGTCAAAACACAGGTGCACAACAACAGTTTATTCGGTCTCCCTAAAGAAAAAAAAACCCATTTTAAAAAGCCACCCAGCAGAATGCCACCACATCCCTAGAAAGACCCACTTCCTGACCCTTCAACTGCTTCTGTTTCTCCTCACCTACAAAGATAAGATATAGCATCTTAAGTGGAGACTGAGAGCCTGCCATTGTTGTTGCCGTTTAACAGTTGATGCAAGTTTCTGGTGATGCTACTGTTGCTTAGCTACCCTGACCACATTATTTTTTCACTGTATCAATGCTATGTCATATTTTTTTTAACCATCCTTATTCCCATGCAAGTTATGTCATATTTTTTTTTTACTGTCAAGTATTTATGTGTGAGTAAGCATAAGAAAATGACTGCTTATTGGTAGCACAGGAATGATGGTGACATCAAACAACCACAAATTGCCCACGTGGGTGGCTGAGGTAACAACAACTTTGCTTTCTGATGGTTCAATGTATACAAACTTTTTCTCAATGCACAAAGTTATTAAAAATAATATTGTCTAAGGTTACCTTCAGGCTATGTGCATAAGGTGTATATGAAACAAGTGAATTTTCTGTTTAAACTTGGGTCCCACCACTTCTAAGATTATCTTATTGTGTGTATGCAGATAATCCAAAATTTGAAAAAAATCCCAAATCCAAAATGCTTCTAGTCCAAGCATTTCAGATAAGGGATACACAACCTGTACAGCAAAATTGTTGAATCTAAGAGATGGGTGTACAAAAATCACTATTCTCAGGTTTCCTTTTTGTTTTAAAATGTACATGATAAATGGTACATACCCATACAATTCATTGTAACATTACAATTCCCAAATACTTTGGGAAAAATCCACATACACACACAGTCTCTCTTTATTTAAGTGGCATTCAAGATACTCCTTCTTATTACAAAACTTAAAGATCTGCAGTGGTGCCACTCCAGCCTCAAGTGAGTAGAACAGTCCTGCCTTTTTAAAACATCTTAGTATTCCATTTCACTCTTAAGTTTTGTCTTCCTTCCATTCCATTAGGGAATGGAACTTTGACTTTGATTACAAATTCAATCTACCATGAGACTACACCATATTTAAAAAAGGAAACTGGCTGGGCACTGTGGCTTATGCCTGTAATCCCAGCACTTTGGGAGGCCAAGGTAGGTGGGTCACTTGAGGCCAGGATTTCGAGACCAGCCTGGCCAACATGGCAAAACCCCATCTGTGCCAAAAATACAAAAGTTAACCAGGTCTGGTGGGGCAACCCTATAATCCTAGCCACTCAGGAGGCTAAGGCAGGAGAATCACTTGAACCTGTGAGGCAGAGGCTGCAGTGGACCGAGACTGCACCACTGAACTCCAGCCTGGGTGATAGAGTGAGACTCTGTCTTAAAAAAATGAAAAGAAAAAAGAAAACCACTCCATTTTCAGTCCTCTCCTGACTTAGTTCTTTCTTTATACAGGTTAGCTCCAATTACATATATTTTTAATCATTTTACTACTTTATGCCAAGAACCCACAACATCCTAACTTTTTCACCACAACTTCTCTGCAAGATCTCAACTTAGAATCAGTCCAACTTGAAAATCCATCCCCCTGTATATCCCCTATAGATCCATTTCCCCTCCTCTACAAAGCTTTCTTTGCTTGGTCTCCCATCCCAATGTGATCAATCCTTAGAAATCTCATACTATTTTACATTGCTGGTATCCAAGATGCAAAATAGTGTCTCTGCCTGAGCCATGGAGATTTATTTCTACCACTCTTACAGCAATTATTTCTCTTACCCTATTATTTGTGAAGAAACCTAGAATTTTTTATATTTACACTGTTAAATGGTCACAACATTTCAAAAGCCACAGAACAGTTATGCTTCATATGTGAACTTTATAATTCAACGAAAAGGCAGTGTTTATTAGCTATTTCATACATCTTCTCTGAAAAGTTCTCAATTCTTGTCACTGACACTTGTAAGCAACTGAGCAGCTTCTGTCTGTATCTAAAATGGAAAAATACATGTTATAAATTTGAGTTTCTAAGAGTTTCCAAAAACCGGATAGGACATCATAACAATAAAACTTCTTGACAGTGACCAGATGAGACTCAGCTCTTACAGTTTGGTACACACTTTCATGTTTTAGAAATCTTAATCTGCCATGTGTGTCAAATAGGAATAATTCTGTATTATAGCAGGCAACCCATAACATCTGCTTGATTATAGTAACTAAACATTTCCTATGTAGAAATATAAATGCCAACGAACTTACACTTGAAATGAACACACTTGTTTTCAGCAATATTATGCATTTACAAAATTAAATTACACTTTTAAAGAAGTTCTTAATTCACCATTTAATAGTGCCTCAAAACCTTTCTGCCTTACTTTATGGGAGATGTCTTACCTGTTTATCCTCTTCTGTGTGTGCTGGATAGTCCCTGGCTTTCGTTAGCCACAGAGCAGCAAGCTTTTTGTTGTGTAGTTTCAAGTATGTCTTTCCTAAGAGAAGTAAGTTTTTGCTGTAGAAGTTTGGGTCCACTGCACATAGGAAAGAAAAAATTATCTCAGATGAAAGAGTATTGCTTTTATTTTTAAAGGTTTGATTCTGGGGTCTAAATTTCAATAAATTTGTGTGGTCAATAAGTGATGAGACTAATGGGAATTCTCTTTTGTTCAACTGTTTATATCTCAAACAAATATATTTATAAAATAATAATTACCATTTAATGAATATCTACAAATGTGCCAGGCACTGTATTACTGTATTATACACATTTCTCATTTTCACAATTTTATATGTGGATATCTCCATTTTATAGATGAGAAGCTGAAGCTCCTGATAGAATGTATGCTATTTGAGGATAGTGATATTCTTTTTGATCTCTTTAGTTCCCTACTGTACCCCAAGTGCCTACAACAGTGTGTGAAACATAACATACATTCAATATATATCTGCTAAATAAGGGAATGAAATCATGATGACGATATATACACATTTGATCAACATTTACTGGATGTCAGCTATACTTAAGCATAGAGAATGAAACAAAACCTCCACTGTTTTCAACTTTATAATGAAAAGGAGAAACAAGAACACAACTAAATGTAATATAGGAATGCTTTACTAGATATACAAACTTTGAAGTGCTGAAAAAAAACAAAAAAACAAACAAACAAAAAAAAAACAATGGAGACCATGAATGAAAGCATGGAACTATCTCACCCACTTAATGCTTCACACAGTTTCCTCCTAACAATCTGAAATCCTCTGTATTCAAGGAATACGTTTTCCTGTATACAATTAATAATTAACTCCATTTGTTCCTTACCTAAAATTGTTTTACTTCTTTTATTTGAGCAGATTTGTGTGATGCTATGTTGATATACTTAGGTTGTCCTGGGGTTAAATATATTCATATATTCATTCATCCAATCATTCATCTGTTTACTCAAGTCATTCAACAAATTGGCCAAGCATTGTGCCAAGTAATGAGGGTGCAATTGTGAGCTGAAAAGACAAAGTCCCCATCTTCTCTGAATTTACAGTCTTAGACATGTAAATTTTCATAGTATTGAGTGTTAAGTCTCATTGAAAAATAAAAGATACTAAGGTCATAGGAGGTGTTTCTGAACTAAATATGGAACAGAAAGAAATAAGGTCAGCTCACTGAAGAATGACTGAAGTTACCAAGGATTATTTTAGCTCCATGAGGGCAGGACCATGTTTTTCTCAACACCCCCAATCCTTAAGTCTCTAAGGTCCTTTATTTTTACTTTGTAATTAACTTTTAAGTCCCTTTTAAAAATAAAAAGGTCATTCCTAGATTCATATTCATGATATGTGAAACAGTATGATTATAAGAGGGTATCAATAGAAGGTAATGAATAAATCATAATTGATAAATTACAGAGATATGTAACACTGATAAAATTCTGTAGAGGATATGTTTTTAAAAAAACTGGTATCATAAAAGCATCTGAACAAGTCCATTATGTGTAGGATCTCAAATTTGATAAACATGATATCTTCTTAATTTTCTTCTACGTTTTACAGAATACATTTAAATGGTTTTTATGGTCTATTTGGTAACATATACTTATGTCTCTTATCCCCCCGCCTTAGTGTATGAATATTAAAAAGGATAAATTTAGGATGGGCTGGTGACAGTTTTATAGGACTAGTCATTTTTTCAAAACAAGCATAACCTGAAACTCTTTTTCACAATATCTGCAATAGAACTAGCCTGGCTAAATAGCAGAATTCCTACTAAATGCCTCTAATGAGATGCATAATCTTTTCTGTTTTTCAGACAGGTATCACTCTGTGGCCCAGGCTATAGTGCAGTGGCACAATCAAAGCTCACTGTAGCCTAGAACTCCTAGTCTCAAGTGATCTTCCTGCCTCAGCCTTTTGAATAGCTGGGACTACAGGTGTGTGCTACCACACCTGGCTAATTTTTATTTTTTGGCAGAGATGAGGTCTTGCTATGTTGTCCAGGCTGGTCTCAAACTCCTGGACATAAGTGATTCCCCTGCCTTAGCCTCCCAAAGTGCTGGGATTACAGGTGTGAGCCACCACATCTGGCCAATATGTACAGTCTTGAATATGATAATCACCATGTCAGAGACTCAGTCTTGAATAAGACAATTACCATGTCAGAGACTCCTCTCACAAAGGAAGACTGAATTAGGACATTCAGCCTTCAAATAAAGGACATTCCAGAACTAAACTACAGTTCAGTAGCAGCCTATTTCTCATTCAGTATATGTTTACTGAATAAAGACTTTAAAAATTGTTTTATAATATCTGGCACCAAAAAGAAAGTATAAAAGAATAAACATCTTTCCTTTAGAAATTGTTATTATAGTATATATTCAGCATTAGTACAATTTTAACTATATTAATATGTGTAACAAAAAATACCTTACCTTGTTCTGCCCTGTGAAAGTAGACTAAGGCCTGTCAAAAACACAAAGAGCCCAAACATAATGAAAAAGATTAAAACAGATGATATTTAAAAAGCATTGTCTCAAAGATCTATTCCTATATTAAATTTAAGTCAGGAAGTAAATCATCTTAAAATAATGGTCAGTTCTTCAACAGTGAGAGCTAACACCCAAACTGAATGTAACACTTAAATCATCATTAAGGTAACATTATATGGACCACTTCAGTTTCGTTGCTGCTTAGAACTTGTACCATGGCCGGGTGCGGTGGCTCACGCCTGTAATCCCAGCACTTTGGGAGGCCAAGGCGGGTGGATCACCTGAGGTCAGGAGTTCAAGACCAGCCTGGTCATCATGGTGAAACCCCATCTAAAAATAAATACATAAAATAAGTAAATTAAAAAAAAAGAACTTGTACCAAAGTAACATCAAGTGCAGAAAGGAAAGAACATTATCACATGTAACTCAGTTATTTTGACAGTTCTCTTAAATTATAACGAGTGACTTTTAGTAAAAGCTAAATGTAATCAAAAGCTGAATTTATTCATGTTATACTAGTGAATTTTAAAGAGTCCATTATTATTGAAATTCCTACATATAATGTTATTGTGAGTCTGAAACTCTCTAATTCTTTTTGTCCTACTTAAGCTACTGTTTTTGTAATGCAAGCTCTAATGACGTGATTTCTAGGAAACAACTAATTTGACACAGTAAAGCTGACTATATTTTTTGTCCTTAGAATGATTTTTTTTTTAAAGACAGGGTCTCACTCTGTTGTCTAGGATGGAATGCTGTGGTGCAATCACTGCTTACCGCAGCCTTCAGCCCAGCTAAGTAGCTGGGAGTACAGGCGCAGGTCACCACACCCAGCTAATTTTTGTATTTTTTGGTAGAGGTTTTGCAATGTTGCCCAGGCTGGTCTTAAACCCCTGGGCTCAACTGATCTACCTGCCTTGGCCTCCCAAAGTACTGGGATTACAGGCATGAGCTACTGTACCTGGCAAATGCATTATTTTAATAATATTTCGGCTGGGCGCAGTGGCTCATGCCTGTAATCCCAGCACTTTGGGAGGCCAAGGCGGGTGGATCACAAGGTCAGGAGTTCGAGACCAGCCTGGCCAAGGTGTTGAAACCTCGTCTCTACTAAAAATACAAAAATTAGCTGGGCGTGGTGGCACGTGCCTGTAATCCTAGCTACTCAGGAGGCTGAGGCAAAAGAATCGCTTGAACCTGGGAGGCGGAGGTTGCAGTGAGCGGCAACCGTGCCACTGCACTCCAGTCTGGGTGACAGAGTGAGACTCTGTCTCAAAAAAAATAATAATATTAATAATAGTATTTCTCAACTGTGTGTAAAGAATACAACTTAGTATTCTTTACATCAATTTCTACACTATAGCCTCCAGAAAGAAAAAAAACCTCCCTGTTATAATGTAACTAATACAAGTACAGCTTTTTGATTGCCTGTTTTCTTACTCTGAAAAGCTTGTGATGAGTAAACCCAAAGTTTAACCAGAAATCACTCTAAAATTTTATTTTTAACAGGAAAAGCAAAAGGCCTTGAAAATATGAAAGAATATGAACCTTTCATATGCTTTTTAAAATATAAGTTACAATGAGTGTTCTTTTATCAACTCAAGCATGCACTTTTTTTCTTTTTTTTTGAGACAGAGTCTTGCTCCATTGCCAGGTGCCAGGCTGGAGTGCAGTGGCGTGATCTCTGCTCACTGCAGCTTCCACCTCCCGGGTTCAAGCAATTCTCCTGCCTCAGCCTCCTGAGTAGCTGGGACTACAGGTGCATGCTGCCACGCCCAGCTAATTTAACATGCGCTTTTTCTAACTGACTGTTACTATGCATAATATACCTAAAACATGCTGGGTAACAGTTGCTGTATTTCTTGTTCTATTTTATGACTTCAATATGGTTTAGATTTCAAACAGAAAATGAAGGTAGATTTTAGCCATGAGCCATTTTAGATGACAGTATTCCAGAATTACCAGCCACTCACCTAAAAGGGGTAAAAAGAAAACCACTCACCAGTCATGGATAATAAGTTTTTAGCCTTGTGATAACATAGTTGAATTGGATCATTAGAAACTGCTCAAGTCCCTCACTGAATCAGAGCTCCACATGTGTGAACACTGTAGAATGGCACTGTGGTTAAGAAATTGGTACTGACTTAACAAAGGACATCATACTACCTCCTCATAGGTGGAACTAGGAGGAGATGCAAACAGCATTTTAGCAATTCTTCTTTGATACCAAGGCATTTCAGCAAATGTATAGCACCTACAGAGAAATAAAACAATTTTATAGATTCAAATTGTACCTTCTTTTCTCTTAAAGGTAAGTATCTTAATATTATAAAAGGAATCTTCTACTGTATGTTTAAACAACTTGTACTTTACATGATAGCTACTAGGTAATCCAGAGACTGACATACTTATCCATTAGCTGGGGGTGTATTTTGTGATTAATATAAATAATAAGCAGCCATACTAATAACAGTAATATAATATACATTTACCACTGAGTGCAGTGTGCCAGGTACTGGGCTGATTATTCTGTCACTTACTCCTTTTAACAATTATATATAATATAGGATCATTTACCCTATTTTTTATGTAAGAAAAACTCTGAGAAGTTAAAAAACCTTACCCAAGAAAAATAACAAAACTAAACATCAAATTTATAAGTAACAGCAACCAACTTAAGTCCATTTTTAAAGGGGCAAGGCAAATGACTAACCTCCAAAGATCTTTACAACTTTTAGAAATAAGGAGGAAAAAAAGTGTTAGATCTTTTACTAGCGTCTAAAGTCCTTAAAGCAGAAATTGCTATTTCATTTAGGTTTGCTTACTAGCATCTGACTTAGTGGCTGCCCCTCAATTATCACTGATTCTCAGTGAGTGAGTGTTAAGTTTAATATGTCCTTTACCTAAAGAATGTATTTATTTCTCTTTTTTAAGAGTTTGATACAGGACAGTTTACACTGGTACCTTTCTTAGATGGTGGTAAATATTTAGCTTTGCAGACTATACTCAAAACAGTGGCCTATCTCAAAATAGACTCTTAAACCATCAAGTACATAACACTTTGATAAACCCTCATACCAGCAAAATAATAATCTACAGTAAACATAAAATCACATAAAAATAGAGAGACACTGAAAATCAGATTATATGGTTCCTCAGGTTAATCAAGACACACACTTTGAAGATACAAAGACCCTCTTGGGGCATTCTACTATTACTACAGTTACACTTATCTAATTTTATTTAGCATGGTAAGTAAGAATAGTCCTTTCAGTCTGTACATGTTTCTAAATGACTTGAATAACAATGTTTAACATGGTCACAGTCAAATTTAGTGTATTCTAGCAGTACATTTACAGTGCTAGTTAATGGATTTGACACTCTAAATTCTGTCAGCTAATATGTTAAAATATTTAATATCTTTTTATATATCCAAAAGAAGATATTTATATATTCTACAAAATAATATCACACTAACTACTGAAATATTAATTTAAAGAAATTTTCTTACCAAATACCCATAAGGTGAATTGAAGTAGCATCTTTAGGGTTCAGTTCAATTGCTTTCTAACAAGAAATGAGAAAAACAAATAATTGTATTTGTTTTCTAAACACCAATAAGTGCTTTAGTGTTTGCTGAAAAAGCCATGATTTTAAAAAAATTGCAATCCTGTGTTTCAACTTTTCTAATTAATACCAACTTTCTTCCTCCTGATTGTGTGATTAAATTCATTTCAATACACTATTAATGACTTGTATTAAGGTTACTATTTCATAAGGTTCAGACATTTAAAGTAAGTGTCAAGATGAGAAGAAACATGAAATACATGAATTTTGCAAATTAATCTGTAGTTCTTAATGTATCTTCCCGATTGAAAGAAAAATGAATAAGAAAGTACTTTCTTGGCAAACTGTAGATGAATACGGAATAAAAGTCATTCTTTCCCAAAGAAGAACTAAACGTGCATTTTAGTTTTCAGAAAAAAACTAATTTTAAAAAGTCTCTTCTTTTTTGGAAATCTTTTCATTCCATTTTTAGAAAGTCTTCTTTACGTAGATTTTGTTCAACTTCCTCATCTGTGCTTACCAAAGGAAAAGAAAAAAAAACAAACACTTCATAGAATACTAATAGAAGGCCGTGCACAGTGGCTCATGCCTGTAATCCCAGCATTTTGGGAGGCCGAGGCAGGCGGATCACCTGAGGTCGGGAGTTGGAGACCAGCCTGACCAACATGGAGAAACCCCATCTCTACTAAAAATACAAAATTAGCCAGGCATGGTGGCACATGCCTGTAATCCCAGCTACTCAGAAGGCTGAGGCAGGAGAATCGCTTGAACCCGGGAGGCAAGAGGTTGCAGTGAGCCAAGATCGCGCCATTGCACTCCAGCCTGGGTAACGAGCAAAAATCCATCTCAAAAAAGAAAAAAAGAATATTAATAGAATAATTATGTACAATGTAAAATATATTGAAAGAATCTTCCTAATTTCTACTTACTATGTGAATTAGTGTAAAACATAAACTAAGAATAAAGAAACTGTTCCTCCTTTTATCCATTATTTCATTGAAAACCACTAAAGAAATCTTATAGATTAATGTTGATCATATTCAAAGACTCTTTTTTAAAAAAATTAAGATTTCTAGTTTATGCTTTTCTATAAACCCACATTTTCGCTTTCAGTTTAGTGATGTGTGAGGTATACATTTTCAAAAGTTTACAATGGTTATAAGAGCATGGTCTCTGAAGCCAGACTGCCAGGATTGAAGTCACAGCTCAGTGACCTTGAATGGGTTGTAAAATCTATATTTTTGCCACAACTAAGTTTTCTCTCTTTTACAGAAAAGTCATACACTTACTCAACTCATAAGGTTGTGGTAAAAATTAAACAAGTATTTTAACGTGTTTATATGCAATTTTAAGCAACCTTTCCCAGTTGGAGTTCCAGTAAAAATTAAGCCCTACAAAAAATTATATAAGTAACTATTTTTTCCATTTTCCTAAGAGTGATAACATATCATTTTAGATGCATAGGAAGGAATTTAATTAATCACAATGGATGGCTTGGGGCCTTAGGGTTTAATTTTCTTTTTTTTTTTTTTTTTGCCTTTGCCAAAATAAGGTTTTATTTTGAAAGTCATTTGAAAGACACAGAGGAAGGAAGGAGAAGCTAAGACCCAATGGATGTAGATTCCAAATTCAGATTCTTGCCAGCCCCACCAATGGTCTCTGTCAGGCCAAGAAGGTGTTTTCTTTGGTAATTCCTGTTTTTTAGTTTCCTGGAGAAGAGATCTTTTCCCATAAGCCATCTTCATCTTTTTTGTAGAGTAGGGCTTTATTTCCAGGAAACAGTGTCTTAGTTGGAGATGGGTATTTTTTTAAAAAAAAAACAGGGTAGATCTAATATGTTCAACAAAGTGGGGCAGCTGGGCCAGAGGTTTAGTTTTCTTATGGGACGGGTTGAAAGGGGGTACTTTCCAGCAAACTCTTTTATAATCCTTCCTGTAGTTGGTCTTTCAAAAATAATCCAAAGATAGTAATTCCTTACCACTTTAGATATATAATGGAATTCAAAATAGAAGTAGTATAATCTTTTTAATACGTAAATACTAAATACTGCCATTTAAAATATATTTAAACTGTACATTTGAAAGCTTATATAAAACATTGTTTTTTTTACAACCTATAGTGTTCACTGTTGTTTTTTTTTTTTTAAATGAAAAGTATACAGTTGTATATTTTCTACAGTTTTTCATTATTCACTTTGGAAGTTATGTCATATTATTTCTACATCCTGAGGCACAGAGAAATTAAACGATTTATCTTTATGCCACTGAGAAAATCACTGTATTTCCCTGAATCTAAAATATCAAAAATGACACACCATTCGTTTATGTGCCACTAAGAAAGAAAGAATCACTGCCAATTACAATGTAAGGTTCCAGTGATTATATTTTGTAATCTGATTTCAAGAATTTTAAACTGTAGAACAGGTAAATCGTTACATTATAAAATGTCAGTTATTATGTATCTATTACTATCCATGCTTCAACAAGAAAAGCTAGGTCTCTTGACACCCAGGCATTCTTTTTCACTAGTTGTTATATTAACTAGGAATTGACAGTAAACCATAAAATTATGAAAAGCTATTTAAATAGCACATTCTGCAGTATCCCTATGCATGTTCCCATTATTTTTCTTCCTGTAATCTCTAAAGAAAAATATGCTGGGTTTTTTGTGGCAGTTTTTTTTTTTTTTTTTTTTTTTTGAGACAATGACTTTCATACATGTTAAGAAATAAACAGACTCCTATGGAATTCTTAGCACCTAACAGCTTACTATAATTAACTTTACAGGAAAATATTTTTAATAAAACATACATATGATACATACACAGCTATCAATCTTAAACAGAATTATTACTACAAGGAGCGGTGTGTCAATTGTGTTAAAGACTGTTATACTAGACCACGCTTCGCTTTCCATACTTAGAAACTTGTGTCACTGGTCCCCTCCCACAGAAATTGAGCTTGTCCTTGTGACTTGTTTAAATTAACAGGATATTACCAAGTATGATGCAAGCAGAGGCTTGCTAGAAGTTTGCACATTGGATCTTTGCCTATGGAATGCTCATTCTTGGAAGCTAACTACCATGCTATAATGAAGGTTGAGCTAGACCACTGAGTGATAAAAAACAAGTGAGGACAAACTCTCATAGGTGAGAGGCCATCTTGAACATTGTAGTCTCAGCTGCGGACTCAGGTGAATGAAGCTGTCTAAATGACCTCAGCTATACCAAACAATGTAGAAGCACTACTGCACTCAGTTAATCCACAGAATTGTAATAAATAACAAACTGTTGGCCAGGCACAGTGGCTCATGCCTATAATCCCGGCACTTTGGGAGGCCAAGGTGAGTGAATCACCTGAGGTCAGGAGTTTGAGACCAGCTTGGCCTAAAGGGCAAAACCCTGTCTCTACTAAAAATACAAAAATTAGCCGGGAGTGGTGGCAGATGCCTATAATCCCAGCTACTCAGGAGGCTGAGGCAGGAGAATTGCTTAACCCTAGGAGGCGGAGGATGCAGGGAGCCGAGATTGTGCCATTGCACTTAGCCTGGGAGACAAGAGCAAAATCTCCATCTCAGAAAAAAAAAAAGAACAAACTGTCATGGCTCTACTCCACTGTTATCACAGGTAGTTTGAAATATAACAATAGATAATAAAAATAAAAATCTATACAGAAAAATTTGACTTTTAAAATTCATGAACTTTAATAATTCATCAGTACCTCAAAATGCTCCTTGATAATGTACGCATTTGCAATTTTAACCTTGATGCCTTCATAATCTCCAACATCACTAAGGCAGATTGCATACCACTGAAAATTAAAAAAAAAAAAAAAAAGTAAGAACAATAATATTCTTGATATTCCATTCAATACAAGGTAAAACTGTATAATATTTATTCAATAGTCATTCTTATCCAGCAAAAAGTTACTGAGCATAAAAACTGTATTAAATGTAATTTATAAATGTAATGGAATATATAATAAATATATATTATTTACATTTAATAATGGAATATATAAAGAAAAGTAGACATGGCCTTCTAGAAACTCAGGGATAAGGTTGGGCCCAATGGCTCACACCTGTAATCCTAGCGCTTTGGGAGGCTGAGGCAGGTGGATCACCTGAGGTCAGGAGTTCAAGAACCTGGCCAACATGGTGAAACCTCATCTCTACTAAAAATACAAAAATTAGCTGGGCATGGTGGCACGGGCCTGTAATCCCAGCTACTCAGGAGGCTGAGGCAGAAGAATCGCTTGAATCCAGGAGGTGGAGATTGCACTGAGCTGATATCATGCCACTGTATTCCAGCCTGAGTGACAGAGTGAGTATAAAAAACAAACAAAACCCTCAGGGACAGGACGTGTTTATAGAGAACTATAACACGGTAGAAAGTGGTCAATTTTCTAAGAAAGTTACCAACACAGTGAGATAATGGTTCATGTTTACGGTCTGAGTATCAGCTTAGAAGAATATGTAATTGATTGCCGTTTTATGTTCTCATTTTCTTTTCTCGGAGTCCCATCTCCTCCCACATTGCATTGTTAGAGTAAGAACTGCCACAGTGTCAACTTTGACCTTGTCTCCACAGCCACTGTTGGACAGCTGACCCAAACTGAGACGACCCGAGTTTCTTCCCCAAGAAATGAATCTAAAATAGCCACGCTTCATAAACCCAGGTACTGTGGAAAGTTCCAAGATTTAGGCTAAGGAGAAAAATAATGTCTACAATGAAAAAGATACTCAGGTAACAGCAGAGTGGAGAGATAATGAAGCCTTGAAGCAATCAAGCCAATTTTCTCCCAAGCCCCAACTGCACCCTGCCTTTGGGTTCCATGAAGTCCAACAATTTCTTATGATTCCACTCATATGAAATACCTAGAATATATAAAGCCATAGAGACAAGAGATTCATGTTTGCCAGAGTTTGAGCTAAGAGGGAGTGGAAAGTGACTGCTTAACAGAAACAGGGTATTCTCTTAGGGATGATGACAATATTTTGCCATTAGAGGTGTTGGTTATACAACACTGTAAATGTACTAAATGGTTAGCCACACTGTAATCCCAGCACTTTGGGAGGCCAAGGCGAGCAAATCTCAAGGTCAGAAGATCGAGACCAGCCTGGCCAACATGGTGAAACCCCATCTCTACTAAAAATACAAAAATTAGCTGGGCGTGGTGGTGTGCACCTGTAATCCCAGCTACTCCAGAGGCTGTAGTAGGAGAAATAGCTTGAACACAAGGGCAGAGGTTGCAGTGAGCAAAGATTGCACCACTGCACTCCAGCCTGGGTGTCAGAGAAAGACTGTCTCAAAAAAACAAACAAACAAACAAAAAACCAAGACTATTTGTAGAGGTAATGAAGATCATTTTACAATGATTGAGAGGTCAACTAATAAAATATAATCCTAAATGTTACATTCTTAATAATAGCACTTTAAAATACATGCTGTAAAAACTAATAGAACTGCAAAAAGAAACAAACAAATCTACAATTATAATTGAGGATTTTACTACTCCTCTCTCAATAATTTATAGAACAAGCAGACGAAAATCAGTAAGGATTTAGAAGACTCAAACAATACTATCAACCAACTTGACGTGAATGGCATAAGACAGTCCTAACAATAGCTGAATACACAATTACAAAGATGAACCATTTTCAGAGCCATAAAACAAGTCTCAGTAAACATTTAAAATAATGTGTACCTGTTTTATCCTTTATAAGTAGTATTTTTTTGGGGAGGGGGTACCAACTCCTAAAAGGAGCATTTGGAAATATACCGGTATAGAATTTGGTTGTCATATGACTTGGAGCTCTACTGGAGATGGATAAACATGATTAAAAAAAAAAAAAGTGCTAATCCTTGGCCAGGTAATCCCAACAATTTGGGAGGCCAAGGCAGGAGGACTGCTTGAGCTCCAGAGTTCAAGACCAGCCTGAGCACCAGAAATATAGCAAGACCTCATCTCTACTAAAAATCCAAAAAATTAGCTGAGGGTGGTGCCACATGCTGTAGTTCTAGCTACTTAGGAGGCTGAGGTAGAGGATCTCTTGAGCCCAAGAGATGGAGGCCACAGTGAGCTAAGATTGCAACACTGCACTCCAGCCTGCACAAAAAAAAAAAAAAAAAAAAGAAAAAAAAAAAGAAATGTCCTAATCCAGAAGGCTGATGACCACCACCTCCTGGTCTCCTCATACAATTTACTGAAAAGTGTTCTGAACCAACAAGAAATCCTGAAAGCAGCAGAGTTACATGTAAAGTCATTCTAGGCCTCAGTGGCCCAGCTGCTATATTCCTACCTCTAAATAAAACAGAAATATAACATGAGGAAAATGAGAAAGTATTTGTGAAGCACTTATACTACTAAGAATGTAGATATAGGTAATTCATGAAATTGCTAAACTTCTGTTTAAAAATAAGCATTCACAAAAGTAATTTATCAAATACAAATGAAGTTAAACCAAAGGTTTAAGAAAACAGACTTTTCTTTGAAAAACTTATAAAAATAAATATATTTCCTACTTCTTTAAAATAGAGAAAGTATCCTTAAGATATAAGACTGAATTAAAAAGAAAACCTTAAGATAGAGAAATTGTTCTTCCTATGTAAATTAGGGATAATAGAAAAGTATAAAATAATGTAAAATAATGGTAATAGCCTAGTTAAGCAACTCACCTTATGAGCTGCAAAATTTGATTCATTTTTTTCTAGTGCTCTTTTTGCATACTCTAGGGCTTCATACACCAATAGCTTTTTCTCCTCTTCTGAAGTTCTGCTAAGCTGAGCTACATCACGTGATGCCCGTGCCAAACGCCACAGTAACTCTGCATCTTCACTAATTTGAAATAAAATATAAAACCACCATTTTAGCTCATATTTAAAAATTGTTAAGGGTTACATTACTAATAAATCCATTATGGTCTTTCAGCTTAGGAAGCTAGCAACATGGCATCAAAAGCCATTATTAATAATCCTAAATTAATATTTTCTTTCATATAAAACTTGCTAAAATTTCCTATAAAAAATATCTAATATTCATAAGTATTAACTTACTTCTAGTACCTAAACTACTGACTTCCTTCAAAAATATCTTTGTATTCGAATTCTTTAAACACTTGCCCTATAAAACTCAACATACTAACCTGAGGCTTGGCCTTACTGGCACTGTGTTTCAAATAGCTCACTGAGTAGTTCATACAGTATCATAAAATACATAAATTTTATAGACAGGGTCATGCTGTAAAAATACAAAACTGCTGAATCCCTAGTCCCAAATACAGTTTCTGACACCCAATAGGTATATGACAAGTATTTGCTAATGAATGAATGGCTGAATATAATGTAATCTCAAAAAAATCCTATGTTTGAATACCCATGATGCATGGGTTATTTCAAGTACGAGCATTGGATGCTTTGAAGAACTGCCATTTCCATATAATTACATAAGAAATGGTTAATAAAGTATTAACCACCACAACTGACAGAAATAATTATAAAAATTAAATACCTTTTTATTAAATGTTTGCCTTTTAACAAAAAATGAAAATTTGAAGCTAAAGGTTAAGATAGTTAGTATTCAATGAATATGGAGTAGCTATCTCATAGTTTATTTTTCAAGTTATCACTGAAATGACAATAAAATGCCAAACCAGCCACCTTGAATTACTGAGGGGAGAATGGATAAGAAAAGATCCTGTAGATATCTAGAAAGTGAAACTGATGAGTCCTGGGGTGAGAACTGTTTCGAAAATCTAAAAAAGGCAGATGAAAATGACTCAATAGTTTTAGTTTAGCAGATGAAATAGATTAGTGATCTAGAAATGCTATTTGGCCATATGACCTACTTTATAGGGTTGAGTCTTTCTCTCACTCCACACTCCTCCCAAAAATGAGTGCGCGCTCATATTCTACACTAAACATACAATCTAATACAAACAATAGAAAAACGGGTATTTTTGGTTTCTCTGAAAGACTATGCTTCTGAAGTGATATAGTTACCATTCAATGGTGGCATACAATTACCCTAAATCTCAGTGAATTCATTTAATCTATACCAATAAAAAATTGCTTTAAAAGGAATGAGAAATATACGAAGAGATACACAGTTACCATTCAATGGTGGCATACAATTATCCTAAATCTCAGTGAATTCATTTAATCTATACCAATAAAAAATTGCTTTAAAAGGAATGAGAAATATACAATATAGCTAGAAAGAGTAAACATATATTCAATAACTATCCTGTATGATCTAAAGCAAAATGGAAAAATAAAAAATAGAAATTTCAGCATTCCGCCAGACTAAGCAGAACCATCTTTTCTAAATCAGTGAGATACATGCAACATTTAATATAAGAAACAAATAGTATATTATAAACTCTAAGAAATATTTTAAAGTAAAAACTACAATAAACTATTTTTAAAACCTCAAGCACCAAGGGTCATTTTAATTGTTAAATAACAAAAATTTAGAGGAAACCACAAGCCAAGGCCTATCATACATTGCTTACCTTTCCTTGTACTGGGCTAGCAACTGATAAAGTTTTTCTGTTTCTCCGCTTTCATACAGGTAGTCTGCTTGTTCAAGTATTTCTTCATCTCCAAAGATTATAAAGGAAAAAAAACACAATAAAATAGGTCTTCCCAAGTCAAGATGACAGTAATTTGAAGAAACATAAAAACTTTTATACATAAGCAAATGAAATCAGATACAGAAATGACCTATAATGAAAGAGCAGAAATAATGAAGAACTTGTATGAAAACAAAGTAGAAATAAGCATAAAGCTATCATAATAAATGACCTTTCAAAAAGGAACAGAAAAGAAATTTTTTATTTTTTATTTTATTTTTATTTTTCTTTTTTATTTTTTTTTTTAGACGGAGTTTCGCTCTTGTTACCCAGGCTGGAGTGCAATGGCGCGATCTCGGCTCACCGCAACCTCCGCCTCCTGGGTTCAGGCAATTCTCCTGCCTCAGCCTCCTGAGTAGCTGGGATTACAGGCACGCACCACCATGCCCAGCTCAGAAAAGAAATTTTTAAAAATACACAGAAACAAATTAAAAAATAAAAAGGAACCTTAAGTTAGGCACCTACTTATAATTAAGCATTTTACACATGAGCCTTCACAAGCACAAAAAAATACTATGAATGTATTAGCATACCTTTCTTCAAGGGGCTTTAAATGTTGTCTAATTTAAGGAGCTAATGAGGCTGGGCATTGCGGCTCACGCCTATAATCCCAGCCCTTTGGGAAGCCAAGGTGGGTGGATCAACTGAGGTCAGGAGTTCAAGACCAGCCTGGCCATCATGGTGAAACCCCATCTCTACCAGAAATATGAAAATCAGCTGGGCGTGGTAGTGGGTGCTTGTAATCCCAGCTGCTTGGGAGGTTGAGGCAGGAGAATTGCTGGAACCCAGGAGGCGGAGGTTGCTGTGAGTCGAGATCGCACCAATGCACTCCAGCCTAGGGGACAGAGCAAGACTGTCTCAAAATAATAATAATAATAAGCCGGGCGCGGTGGCTCAAGCCTGTAATCCCAGCACTTTGGGAGGCCAAGGCGGGTGGATCACAAGGTCAAGAGATCGAGACCATCCTGGTCAACATAGTGAAACCCCGTCTCTACTAAAGCTACAAAAAATCAGCTGGGCATGGTGGTGCATGCCTGTAATCCCAGCTACTCAGGAGGCTGAGGCAGGAGAATTGCCTGAACCCAGGAGGCGGAGGTTGCGGTGAGCTGAGATCG